ATCACAGCACCGGCAGCACCCTGGGGAGCACAGCTCTCTCCTCCGCCAATTCACAGCATTAACTCCTTCCCCCTCTGGCAGATTAGCTGGGCTGCAAACGGCCACAGAAAGTCAGTAGTTTCAATCATACACAGCACCCTGTGTGTACAACAATCACATTCTGGATTCTACAAAATCCTGGCCTTTTCCAGAGATATAATTTAGGTAATAAATATTCTCCACCCCGGAGCTGTATAAAACTTCTATAAAAATAGAAACGACATTCTTGGTTCCAGCTGGTTGGGATTCAGAACAGCGCCTCCCCAACCTAGCATTTTTTTCTTTTTTTGTTGTCTTTTTTCTTTTTTATTTTTATTTTTTGCATTTATTTAAAAAATCCCATCATGACCCTGGAAGCCTTTGGAACAGTTTTATCCTTGAAACACAGGACACATTTCTCCCAGTGCGTGGAATTCAAGTTTACGTGGTTCAGCTTAAGAAGTACGTTTCATGTTTCTTAGAGGACAACAGACCCAAGTTATCACTATGAGAAGGGAACAGCTGTCCCAGCTTCAATGGGATAATCCAACACCGCCAACTACCTGCACAACAGCAAGACAGTCAATCCTTGTCTGTGGCCCAAATGGACAGCATGACAAGGAGAGAGCCCCCATCTGACTTAATAGCAAACCAACCCCTCTAATCTCACCTCTGCTGCTAGGGGTCAGGACTGATGTTTGTGAGGTTTAAGATCCCAGGGACCCAGCCCCTGGCCTTGGCTAAAGATCGTATATTAACAGGGCCACCTCTGCCCAGGTACACATTCCCAACAGCGTGTCCTTTCTGGTTCTCCACCCCTGCAGCATTTCTGGGAGCAGAGGCAGAGCCCAGAGGCTGTGTGGGTCACAGGCAAGGGCTGCAGTGAGACCTGTGGGAGGCAGCAGGGAGCTAACTGTAAGCACGAGGACAAAAACGAACACGGTGATGCTGAGGTAAATGAACACTAAATCCATATGGAGGTTGTAAACGTCCTGTTGTCTCCTCTGTCGCCAAGAGCAGAAGATGGGGCTGGAGCGGGCAGAAGAGGGGCCTGCCTCCGTTTTGACACTACATCTGGGACATCTCAACCAAGGAGGCAAACATGGATTTCTTAATCCTTTTAAGTACTGAGTGCTGGCCACTGGCAAACGCAGCACTGGCTTAAAGGGACCTTATGATTCAGGTACACCAAGAAGCAGGCTCCTCCTCCCCCAGCTTGATGGCTTTTGATCACTCTGCTCAGGAGAGGTGCTCCCTTCAACTAGATGCTGTAAGCCCTTCTTGGATCTACCCTCGTGAGAAACCTGTGGCTGGGGATGGAAGAGACATTCCTCGCTGTGGTCAACTATAAAGAAGAGACCAGACAGTGTCTTCCCCAGAGGCCTTCTTTAAATGGACCTGGTAGAAATGGCCACGGTCTAATAGTTTGGTGTTGAAATAAACTAAAAACGATCTCTTTGACCGGCTGCTGCTTCCTAACAGCCACCAGCCAGGAGGGCAGGGCCAATCCAACACCAACGGCTGGCTGGGAAAGCTGGTAATGGGTGATATATCCCTGCTTTTTGCATATGTCAGGCTAATTTAACAGGTGCTTTATTTCCAGAGACTTGTTAGCCCCTTCTTAGGAAAGAAGGGCAGAAATCCCAGACAAGAATCTAAAAAATAGGTGGCAAGAACTCAGTATTTCCACAGAAGGCAGCTATGGAGGAGTTTTAGCCTCCAGCTCCCAGGGCTGCTGGGTGTCAAGTCACTCTCACTCTCCAAAGCCACCCCCACCTCCTCCACCCCCCAAAAGCTCTTGGATGTCAGTTCTCATTTCACCCACTCTCGTGCTCAGGAAGATTCTGGGGGTCAATTTTTTGTTTCACTCAGTCCTCTCTCTTCGGGTAGTTTGGGGCAAATTCTGATCTTCTTTTTTAATGTTTCTCCATTCCCCCTCCTCCCCCAGGGCAGTTTGATGTTGGTCCTTCTCAACACACTGGTTACAAACACAGCAAACTTTTAAATAAAGAAAAAAAAACTCAGGATATGGCACCTAAACTCCAAAGTAAAACACTGGAAACCAAAGCACAAACTTGTCCTCTGTACGAAGCGAAATTCCCACAGAAGGCAGTAGCCGAGTCTTCAGGGCAAGCTGTGCCTGCGAGAGTGGCAGGGATCAGGGTCCAGGGCTGTCAACACACAGCCTTAGGGCTTCGAATCATTAAGGGTGCTCCTCCCCCACTTACCAGAAGACCCTCTCACTCCAGTCTCAGAGGGGAGCACGCTCAGTAGGGCTTGCTGTCATTCTTCGAACGTTTGAGCTGCACTTTAAGCCGCTTCATGCCAATCTGAAAGCCGTTCATGGACTGGATGGCAGCTTGAGCCGAAACAGGATTGTCGTAACTTACAAAACCTGTGTGTCCAAGCAGAAACCTAGGTGAGGGGCATAACGAGGCAGGAAGATTCTCAATCTTCCTTATGCAAGAGATACCTTATGAGCTTAGTCTCAAATCCCAATTTTTCTCAGCAGGAACAAGAATTCTTGAAATTATATCACATGAAATAAATCAGGTTCCTAACAGCAGCAGTTGACATCTACACAGTACCTTAAAGGTTTTTTGGCCAAGCCATTTTCCATACATTATTTTTACCTCTGGAGTGACAGTGTGGGTACAAATCATCATTCCCACTACAGAAATGAAAACACTGAGGCTCAAAACGAGGCAATGTAACCTGCCAGAGGCTAAGTTAAACTACAAACTCAAACGCAGCTCTCCTGCTATCAGCCCCTTCTCCCCCTTTCTAACTGGTGAACGTGCTTAGCTCTCCCGACACCAGAAGAAACACCAACGTACCAAAGCACTTGCTCAGGTTTGTCTGCTTGTCTATGAAAACCTTGGCAGACACGACATTCCCAAAGGGCATGAACATCTGCAGCAGGTCCTGGTCTCCAAACTCCTGGGGCAGGTGGTAGATGAACAGATTGGCTCCTTCTGGACCTTCAAAATCCCCATTGATTGAACAGGTCAGTGGCAAGCACACTCATCCCCTGCACCGACTCTCATTTCCACCTGTGTCAGAACTCGCAGCATCCCAACCAACAGAAATTCACCCGGAGAACTAAACAGATTCTCTAAATGCAAGGCAGGGGGCTGAAGGGTGATCGCTGAAACAGGTTCCTGCCCTCTTTCCCGTTCACCATTCTCAATCTCTGTCTCATTGACAAAGGTCAGAATTCGACCTTGTGGGAGGATGGTGTGCTGGGACAGTAAGTAGGCAGATTTGTGTGTGGTGCAATAAAACCAGAGACTACAGGGTTGTAGAGGAACAACAGAAAAGGAGGTAGAGATTATAAATAAAACAGGTTTCAAAATTGTGCCTAGAAACAATAGGGACAGCAAAGAGATTGGTAACTGCCAGAGGCAGGTGGGGCAGGGACCTACTATAAAGAGACATGAGGGAGTTTCTAGGGGTGACAGAAATGTTCTACATCTGTGGCAGCAGTCACGTGACTACGTGTGTTCGTCAGAGCTCACAGAGCTATATTCCCAAAAGGGTGAATTTTACCATATGTAAATTGTGCCTCAGTAAAAACATATTTTTAAAATGTGCCTATGATAAACAACTAAGCTCAAAACTAGAATATGCTTTCCTCTTCAACCATTTACACTCAGTGATTTCCTGGCCAAAGAAGAGGTGTTTTTTTAAAAAAATTTTTATTGGAGTATAGTTGATTTACAATGTTGTGTTAGTTTCTGCTGTACAGCAAAGTGAATCAGTTATATATATATACACACACATATATCTGCTCTTTTTTAGATTCTTTTCCCATTAGGTCATTACAGAGTACTGAGTAGAGTTCCCTGTGCTGTACAGTAGGTCCTTATTAGTTATCAATTTTATATATAGTATGTATATGTCAATCACAATCTCCCAAATTATCCCTCCCCACCCCCTTTCCCCCGGTAACCATAAAGTTTGTTTTCTACATCTATGACTCTTTCTGTTTTGTAAATAAGTTCATTTGTACCATTTTTTTAGATTCCACATATAAGTGATATCATATAATACTTGTCTTTCTCTGCCTCACTTACTTCACTTAGTATGATAATCTCTAGGTCCATCCATGTTGCTACAAATGGCATTATTTCATTTTTTATGGCTGAGTAATATCCCACTGTATATATGTAGCACATCTTCAAAACAGAGTTTTATTACAATCGCAGTCCAGCCAGTCTCCAGCCACCCTGGCCTCCCTGCTGTTGTCAAACACATACAGAACACTGCTGCCTCAGGGTCTCTGCACTTGCTGTTCCTCTGCCCCATTACTCTTCTTCCTCTAGATATATGCATGGCTTCCTTCCTTCCTTCAGGTCTTTACTTAAACATCAACTTAGAGAGACCTCCTTCTCTCTATAAAATGCTATCTTTCTGGCACTCTCTATTCCTCATTCCTGCTCATCATTCTTCAGAGCACCATTTGGAACACCTCATGCTTCTGTTTACTGTCTATCTCCAGAGTTCCATCAGTTCCCCCACTACCACATCCTAGGGCACATAAATGTCCAATTCAGAGCTGGTAAGGATGCACTGCACCAAGGCTCCTTGCTGCTAAAGCAAGAGAGGATACTTGTCTATTTCCTACATTAGTGCTTAAATCTTGCCAGCTCCTGGTTAAGAAAACCCAGTCATATATGAGCACAGAGATGTTGGCAGCACCTTCTATTCATACAAACCACTTTCAGGCCTCTTTCTGCTTAAAAAGCCTCTCCTGAATTAATACCATTTATGTCAAAGCACATACTTCCCACTCCATCAACCCCTGGGCCATAACTCTTCCTGTCTCATCACCCTTCAGTTTGTCCTCAATTAGGAAAAGCATAGATCAGAAAGTGAGGAAAATGCCAAACGACAGAGCTATAAGGGACACCTAGACAGAAGATAACCTCTGACAGATTTATAATCCACAGAGAAGACTTCCTAACAAAAACAGACTGCCAGTGCTGCTTCGGCAATACATATACTAAAACTGGAATGATAGAGAAGATTAGCGTGCCCCCTGGGCAAGGATGGGACGCAAATTCATGAAGTGTTCCATATTTTTGTGAAGTAAGCCGAAAAGAGAAAAACAAATATCGTGTATCAACACATATATGTGGAATCTAGAAAAATGGTACAGATGAACCTATTTGCAAAGCAGAAATAGAGACAAAATGTAGAGAACAAATGTGAGGACACGGTGGGGAGGGGTGGGGCGGGGGTGTGGCATGAAATGGGAGATTCGGATTGACATATGTACGCTGCTTGGTATGAAACAAGATAACTAGTGAGGACCTGCTGTACAGCACAGGGAACTCTACTTGGTGCTCTGTGGTGACCTGGATGGGAGGGAAATCCACAAGGGAGGGGATATGTGTTTACATATGGCTGGTTCACTTTGCTGTGCAGCAGGAGCTAGCACAGCATTGTAAAGCAACTATATCCCAGTAAAAAACAAAAACAAACAAAAAAACAGACTGCAGACTGCCAAATGGTGTCAGACACAATAAAGCCAATATGTTTCTTCATCTAAAAACTGCAGCCCCATCTCAGGAGAGAACACAGAGGTTCTGACCTGAGCCACATCCAGAAAGCAGATCACAGTTTCTCAGTCTACCCTTGACACTGCCAAAGAAAAGTGTTTAAAAAAAAAGAGAGAAGTGTTGGCCTGACCACCTACATGGCTCTCCGGGGCTTTGCCTTGCTTTTCAGTGCTGGTCAGATGGAGCACCCACCCCTGTCCCTGACTTCAGTTTCCCTTGGCACTCACCTTCCTTCTGGCTTCCAGCAGCACCAATACTCTGCTGTGTCAACAAGTTCTGGTTGTACAGAGTGGGGAGCGCCGCTGCAGCATATTGCTGGATCCCCGAGTAGGCCTGCGTGAGGGCCTCCATGGTGCTCCCAGTGCCATTAGAAAGGCCACTGCTGCCCAGCCCACCATTTAAAGCAGCCATCCCTTGGTTGGGGGTGAGGGTGGGGGGAAGAGCAGGATTAACAGATTGGAAAGGCTCAAGCGATGCCAAAGACAAACTCCAAAGTACGCCCTTTCATCTCCTTAGCTTCTCCCTGAGGAGGAATATTCCTCTGACTGGTCAGATTTTAGGACACTCACCAGGCCTTGTGGCTAATGGGGACATTTAAAAATGCCACACCCAGGCGCGGCTCTCCCCATTATCTTCTTCCAACCTGTGCGAGAAGTGATACCACTTATACGGCTTGCCCCATTTTTTTCTTTGGCTTTGCTGCCATTTTCTCACAAAGAGCTGGAATGTGGTAAAATAAGAGTCCCAGGACTGGGGACTAAAAGGGATACATACAGTCTATGACAAGATGTGGGCAAATCCTATCATCAAAATAGCTGCTAACATTTATTGAGCATGTACTAGTTGCCAGACACAGTACTAAGTAATGTGCTCAGCACTTTACCTATGTTCTCATTTAACTTAATAACCCTCAAAGTATTCTACTCCCACTTCATAGATGAGAAAATGATCTTAGAAAGGTGGTCTTAAGTTACAGGTAGTTAAGGGGCAGAGATGGGATTTAACTCAGGTCTGACTCAAACTCCCATGATCATTTCTAACTTCACTGGGCCACCCCAATCATTCATTCTAACGGCACCCCTACCAGAGTTGTTTAAAATGCGCTATCTGCACAAAGAATGGCTCGAGGACATTCAGGGACTGGCCCTCACCTGCCAAAGAGCTGACGTTGAGGCCTGCTGTTGCTCCAGCTAGTGTCTGTAGGGCTCCAAGGGAGGCGATGGGATTGACAGAGCTGCTGCTGCTGGAGCTGGGTGAGGACCCTGCTGTCAGACATCCATGAGTTAAACTCAGACCAATACTTACCTTCTCAGGTCAACAGGAACCAAAGCACAAGTTATGTTACTCAAGTATCCCCTTTATAAAGAGGTTTTTCAGTTACTGACCCCCCCGCTATTGATTTTGATAACTGTCCCTGCAGGACATAGAGGCAAGTGATGATTACAACCAACTAAAAACTATGAGAGTTCTCTCAAGTCAGAAGATGACATTTGAGGGCTTCCCTAGTGGTGCAGTGGTTAAGAATCCACCTGTCAATTCAGGGGGCATGGGTTTGAGCCCTGGTCTGGGAAGATCCCACATGCCGTGGAGCAACTAAGCCCGTGAGCCACAACTACTGAGCCTGTGCTCTAGAGCCCACGAGCCACAACTACTGAGCCCGTGTGCCACAACTACTGAAGCCTGTGCACCTGGAGCCCGTGCTCCACAACAAGAGAAGCCACCTTAATGAGACGCCTGTGCACCGCAATGAAGAGTAGCCCCCGCTCACCGCAACTAGAGAAAGCTGGAGTGCAGCAACAAAGACCCAACACAGCCAAAAATAAATAAATAAATTTAAAAAAAGAATGACATTTGAAAATTTACTGTTCATGATCTGACCCCTTTGGAAATGGGTGTTAACTACTCTCCAGAATGACATACTCCTCTCTTGGGATTCTGCCCAAGGCACACAAGGGCACAGTGGCCCCTATTATACATGCTTACCTGAACTGGTGAGTACGCTGAGGGGACTGCTGGATGTAGTGAGAGCATTGGTACCACTTGGTGTGTTCTGAGCTGCACTAGCTGCAGCAGCCAGGGCAGCCAAATTCTGTAACTGCATTGCATTTAACCCTGCAACATCCAAAGCAAGAGATCAGCCAACAGGTACGGGTGCCTCATATCCACTCCAGCAATGACCGTGCACACTGGCAGAAGGCTGGTCCCAAAGAGGAACTGTTCTAGATACAGGCAATACTACAGAGCTCCAAAAGATTCAGGTCTCACTCAACTCATTCAGAAACTGAACATTTCCTCAGATAATAGATGTCTAATCCAATAGCATGCCAGCCCAAATGGATGGGCAATTAGGAAACCAGAAAAGAGGGGTGGATTCTGTGTTCTACCATGGAGCCCGGTATCTAAGAGAGCAATGCCAAACCCTGTGGAAGAGAACGAGTCTGCATCTGAACCCCTCACTCACACTTTACAGGGGATCTGTTCTCTGCAATGGAGGTGAAAACACAGAAAATGTAGTAGAGATCTAGAAGGCAATGGAGGAGATGACAGGGGGATACACGTGAAAACAGCAATAGTAGAGAGAACAAAGAAAAAACCACCACCTGAATAGTAGATTAATTATCAGAAAAAGAAGAAAGAAAAAACACTGAGGAAAAGACTTCCAAGTAGAACCTAGGCAACACAGGTATAAGCAGAGCAAGAAATCTGAACTGCACTGACAATGTGTGGCAAACTTTTTACTAGATAATGGAAAGGCAGATGGGTGAGGGTGGAGAATTAATGAGAATAAAAAGGCTACAACACAGATTTACAATCTAGCAACTTTTTGAAAACACAGCAAACTTTAAGTCCCTGGGACAAAAATGAACCACTGCAGTTTTCCTAAGATCATCCCTTCCTCAGAGGCACCTGCCTAGCCCTATCTCGCTGCAACAGGGCAGAGGCAGGCAGCTCTGGAATGGTCCCCTCCCTGCTTCCTTAACTTTCCTGACAGCCCCTGCCTCAGGGTTTGTCTGTGGAGCCTCCTTTTGTTATAAACTCAGGTATTTGGTAATTACGTTTTCTATGCATGTTAACACCAAAAAAGGTAATTCACCTAAGAAATAACATGTGTAAGACAGTAACTGCCTGGGTTCTAGCAGCTTCACGGAAAGCCATGCACATAGAAGCCATCTTAGACTTTTCCTCAGAGTCACTGAAAAAGGCCCTTTATTGTGGAAATAAAGAATTCCTGCAATTTTCTCCGTATCAAAGTAGCTGCAGATAGTCTGCAGACGCTAGCAGCTCTTTTCCATCTTCCTCCTCAATAGAGACTTAGGGGGTAGGGAGCAGCAGACAACTGCAGAGCAGTATGGTATCAACAGCTAAAAGAGCCACCTTCTACAGACAAGGGAGTTGAATCCTAGGAGGTTCATCTTATGTCAGGTTTATGTAATGAGTGGGAAAAAAATTTTTTTCTTCACAAACGGTATAAAACCCTCAGACTGTTGTCAGCCGGGTCTGCTGGCTTGGCTGCTGCTGCTCCTCCATAGCAGTGAAACACTTACCTCCCATTGGGTGGAGGCTGCTCAGGGTGTTGAGGTTCCCAGAGGAGGCAGTCTGCTGAAGGAGCTGCAAATAAAGCTAGACATTACACCAAAAACAGAACAAGAGTGAGAGTGAGGGCTGGTTCTGCATCTGGGGTAACTCTACAGCACAGCAAAGCGAGAGTGCAGAGGCCCCCAGAGAAGAAAGTTGAAGACAAGAACCCAAGCCAACACGACAAAAACATAAGGCTTATGACAGCACAGGACAACACAACACAGCTAAAGCCCTGGCCCAGAAGACAGTTGTGTTTGTTGAGTACAAAGCCAAGCTCGAGTCCCTGGCAACAGAACGCAGCACAGCAGAGGACAGAGGTAGAGGAGAGAACTAAACTCAACTCAAGCAGCCATGTAGTCCACTTAGAGGAGTGTCTGCATATTAGTGACCGCCATTTCTAGTTCCTCTCCCAAATTCTCCTTTGTTAGGTCCACACATCTTATTTTGTAACTTGTTCCCACCTGGAGACCTAATTTCTGCTTCACGCAACTATTTAAAATACCAAACCTGACCATTTCAGAGTATTTCTTGGAGTCATCCTTTACCGGCCACAATGAACCTGTGACTAGATCAATCTTGTCATAACTAGAATGCTACACATTCATCTAGCCCCATGCATCTCACTGTTGCAGATGACCAAGTGATTGCTGGATCAGTCCATATCCGTTCAGCGTACATTCTCTTTCAATGGTTGTTCCATAACAAATAAAACAAGAGGACCTGTCCATGAGCTTATGACCTCCATGACCTTACTCTGTACCTTAGGAAACTGCAACCCTCATCTAACCAACCTGCTGAAACCTTTTGTTCCATCCAAACCCAATCACTGTTCCTTATGAGCAGATGGTATTCTGGTTTCTGGATTCTTTATTCAATCTGTTATTCATTCCCATAAACATCTGACCTGGTTCCTCTGTCATCAGGAATCTCTCTATTCCACAAG